TACTGGACTGGCAGGAGTGTTTGCTGCCATCTTCCCATCTGGGCTTCCTTACCTTCTCTTCTCTGTCCCTGCTAACCCTGTTGACTCCCCTGCGTGCCTCTGATTCTGCTCCCCTCTCACTCCTGTCTGCCAGAGTGCCGTGGACTTCCCCTCTCCACTGTCTCTCCTCCCTCTAGAACGGTCTCCCGGATTAGGTTTGGGTGTTAACTGATGCTGCACACCTCAAACCTACCTGTTCCCATGCTTGCCACACTGGCGTTGTCCCTGACTGTGCCCCACCTTGCTCTGCTTCTAGATCCTCTCCCTTGTTGCCCTCCTCTTTCCTCCACACCACGTTCTGCCTTTTTGCAGTCCTGAAAGCTGTGGTTTTCTGGCTCTGTCTGGTCCTTCCTCCAGACCGTCCAGAACCTTTCTTGTCCCCAGCTCCCAGTGCTAGCGGCCCTTCCTCTTCTGCAGGAAGTTCCAGCTGCTCTGCCTCAGCTCTCCCTTCCTCTGGGTCGTTCTCAGACTCTGCCAGATCTGCTCCGCTTGTGTGTCCCATCCCTGTTCCTGAAACACCGCCTGCTGTGGGAAGCTCTGGGCAGCACTCACCATCTCTGCTTGGGGCAGAGACTTTGTTCCCTTCTCTTCGTATATCTATTGTCCAGGGCGCTGCGTGTTACCGGTTCCCATGGATGGGCAGTTCAGCAGCTGTGGCATATATATCATGGAATTCACCCCTTGATGCATAGGCTGAGCCCGTTGGAAAGCACGTAGAGGTATTGCAGTTGGGTATATTTGGACCCCACCAAAGTCTCCCTTAGGCTGCTCTGAGATCCCAGGATAGTTAATTGAGCCTGATCTCTTGTTGTGCTAGGCACATTCCCTTTTTAATGGCTTCACTGGGAAGCAAGTACTTGTTCCCGCTCAGAATCTGACGTTAAATGCAGAGCCCTAAGGCCAGGACATTTGGCTTGTGAAAGGTTTCAGTGGGGTAACTTGCCTAGAGAAGGGGCCTATGTTTTTCCCGTCTTAGAAGACGAGACCGGGAGGCCATTTGCTGAAACCGAGGGGTGGCAAATCTAGAAACGATAAAAGGAAATGCTTTATTCACCCACCGCATAACTAAACCTCAGGACTCACTGCCATGGGCTGTTACTCAAGCCAAGAATTTAGCAAGATCATGAAGGGATTGGACGAGTAACATGACTACCCAGAATTGTCAACCAAATGTGGGAGGGGTCTAGGATGTCATGCTTCAGCATTTGTGACAGTCTCTATCTGTTAAAGATTGCACTTGAAACCCTTGGAAAACAGGATTTCGTGCACTTTCCTATGAAGTTGCTAGCACTAGCTACTATTGGAGATGCAATACTGGACTGGATGGACCACTGGCATGATCCAGTAAAGTGATTTCCATGCTCATCCAGTCACTCTGTAAATTGTATGGTAATGTGCTAATAATAAAAGCAATAATATGTGGAATTTCATGTGTAACAAGGAAAGTGGGAATATAAATTGTCTGGTATGTGTGACTCGAGTAAGTGAACATTTTGTTGAGAATTGAACCATTGGAATTTCCTGGCTTCTCAGTGCCCAATTTTTTGTGGCTTTAAGGTTTCATTTAATGCCATTATTTTTTTTAATCTAATTTCCCTGGTTTGGGGGGGCAGCAGGAAGAAGAAATCCAGTGTGCTTGGCCTCCTCGGCTTTGAAGCAAGCTGCAGATAGTAGTGGAATTTATTAGGTAATGGGCCTGACTCTCCTCGGCTGGGACCCTGTGCAGCACGTCAGACCTGTGCGGAGTGGGTGTACAGTGCTAGCAGCCACAGCATGCCACCCGTGGGGAGTGTCCTCTGCCCACTCGGTAGAGGTGTGGTGCAGAGTTTGTGATAAGCCTGGTGAGTATGTGGAGTGGCAAGGGAGCTGTGAGCCTTTGGCGTGGTATGAGGGCCCAATCTGCAGTCATGTTACTTTGGGGATGACGACTGTTACCCTGTCTTGGGATGTTTCAGTCATGGCAAAAGCCTCGATGCTGACACGGTTCACCTGACGTAGGAATGCTTCTGCCCGTGTAGCTTGTGTTGCTGGCAGAGGCTCCATAAGGTACATTGCTAAAGTGCTTTTCGGAGCAGTTGGCACCTACACATGGGAAGGGGTTGCAGCTGTAGTGGTGATAGTTGACCTCCCTGTGCTGCCCGCTGTATTTGCAAGCTGCCAGGCCTGCAAAGTAGTTGCTTCCCAGATTACTACTGCAGTCCTGAGCTGGGTGCCTGGGATGGAGCTGGGTGTCCGTGCACAGTTCCCTCCTGCGCCTGGCCCGCTGTCGTTATTTTTATCCACCTTGGCAATGACTAGTGCAGAAACCTCAGACGGTGGGAAGTGGGTCCGAGACGAGCTGACAGCTTCCCGGTCTCTGCCGCAGCACCCGCTTGGCGTAACGGTTCAAAGGGCCCCAGACTGTTGTTTTCCACCCTGTTTACCCCCAGACTTGGCAGAGCCTGCCTGGCTCCACACAGCCTGTTTGCAGCATTAGTTTGGGGCGGAGAGGAGGGGACTACAGTGCTCTTAGATCAGTGGCTCTCAACCCTTTGAGATCGAGGCCCCCTAGGAAAATGCCAGCTCTGAGTTTTCACTGGTTACTTGACTACAGAAAAATAATAGAGCAGTTCTTCTGTTACAGAGAGCTCAGAAAGCCCAAGCAGAGCAGTGTGTTGTTTGCATGCCTTGCAGCACTGGCACTGCTTGGCATCCTGCAGCACCCTTGAAAGGATCTCAGAGCACCCCAGGGTGCCACCACCGTGGTTGACAATCACAGTCTCATAGAGTCGTAGATGTTAGGGTCGGAAGGGAACTCAGTAGATCATCGAGTCCGACCCAATCCCTCCCTCAGAGCGAGGGATTTTTCCACGGGTTTTTAACTTCCCCACACGTGAAGGGGCTTTGCACAGCTTTGCCCACATCCTTCCCAGGGAAGCCCCTGTATCCTCCACAGAGCAGGGAGAGGTTTGGAAAAAGACCCCATGAGTCGAGCTGCTGGGGCTGGGCCTAGTGACAGTGCTGCAGTGATGGGGCAGAGGCTTGGGGCCAAGGCAAGCAGCAGCAGGATTTGTTTGTTTGAAGGGGAATAAGTTGGTAGGTACAGTCTGGGGATCGGAAGCGGAGGGGGTGAGGGCCAGGGAGCCTGTGGCTGTGATTCAAGTAAGGTGCAGGGAGAGGGCAGAGGAAGGTGTGGGCCTGGGCAGGGATGGGGTCCCTCCCTCTTAGTGCTGGAAAGTGCTTTGGTGGCGGCAGAGCCTCCGCGCCGGGAATGCGAGCAGGGGGAGGGGTTCCTCAGCTGCAGGCGCCAGCCATGAAGCTC